CGGTCAGAGAGGGCAGAGGACAGTTGCTCCGGAGGGTTTCTGAGATGATAAATCTTCATGGGAGCAGACACTTCATCTTTCTCCAGAGGAGAAGCTGCTGGGTTGGAACTACTGACCTTGCAGTGAGCAGCCTCAAACTGTCCCGGGGCTGCTGCTCTGCCTTCCCAGAGGGCTAATGGGGCTCCCCGGCCCCCTTTGGAACCCTTCTATCCCGCCGGGTGGGTGGGATGTGGTCTGACCCCCTCCTGTTCAGTGGGTCAATCAAGACTTTTAGCTCTGTACCCAAGGGCACCTCAGGCTGGCCCCAAGCTCTGCTTAGAGGCAAGATTTGCCCAAGGGGCTGGGGCTGAGAGTCTTGAGAGGGGGCAGGAGGAGGGAGAATGATGTGGGGAAATCCCTGCTGCCTGGAGGGTCAGACATAGCACCCTACAGCTCGTGCCTGCCCCTTGACACTCTGGAGTCCCTCTGATGAGTCAGTTGTTAGCCACTTCTTGTGGCTTCTCCGCTCAGTGGGATCCTACCAGCTATGGGGCAGGGCTCGTGGGGTTAGGGCAGGACTCATAAGGGAGGTGGTGTCCTCCCCCATCAAGATGTTGCCTGCCAGCATTTGTCAGAGGCCTGCAAGCAAGGCCCAGCTTCCCTGGCATCCTCCTCCAAGACCCTCCTCCCCACCTGGCTGCCCCCTAAGAAAAGCTCAAGTTGTGTAATTCCCAGCTGCTGCCGGGAACGCATCCTCCCCTACCCGCAATGTGGTGGAGCAGTGTTGAAACATCCAACCATGGGGCCAGTCCCCACTGCCAAGTTCCTCTTCCAAAGCAGTAAACACTCAGAGTCCTTACTGGGGACCCTGGACACGGGGTGAGTGGGACTTGCTCCCTTCTTTATATGTTGGCATGAACCCCCTTGTGCTAGCTCTAACAAGTAGAGCAAGTCAGAGAATGCGGTCTGCCAGGGTCCCAGTGGTGCCCTCATCTTTCCGAGGCAGCCCCCCCCCCCATAGTGCAGGGAGGGGCTTCGTTCCTAGGAGGGACTTCTGAAACCATCCCTGTTGTTGTTCGGTGCCCATCGACTCCCCAGAGCATCCCTAGGGAAACACGCCCCGTCCTGCCCTGTGCATCCTGACCATTGTTCCCGCGCCTCAGCACAGGGTTGCAGGTGCAATGTCGGTCTATCTTCTCAACCAGGATGTCCTTCTCCAGGGACTGGTCTCTCCTGGCAACACGGCTAAGGTGTGTGAGACCGAGTCTCACCATCCTTGCTTTCAAGGCAGACGGAGCGGGGTCCTTGGCTCCGTGGTTCTTTCCGTCTTCTACACCGGCGCCACGATTCCAACGCGGTCTGCCTCAGTCGGCCTCTTCAGTGTCCAACTTTCACAGGCGATTGAAAATACCCTGGCGTGGGTCAGGGACACCTTCATCCTCAAAGTCACACCTTTGCTTGCTAACACTTTAATGGAGGGCTCAGGTCTTGTAAAGAGGGAGAAATGAGTCGCCAGATCCTGGCGAGCAGGCCGAACGGCTGGCTGGTTGTTCTGGAATATTCCAGGCCCACACCTCTGAAGTGTTAGTTCCACGGGTGGGAATAAGCGCAGTCCCAGGGTCTGTGGTCCTGTCCCTATCTCACCAGTCACCCCAGTTCCAGGCCATGCCCCCTCTTCTCCTTCCAATCACCCATACGCTACTCCTCGGGATTGCTCAAGGCAGAATCTCTCCTGTGGCCAAATTCCCCATACAGAATAGACCAGAGACTAAAGACACCTACACTGATCACCCATGTAGGATGAGACGGGAAAGGGTTAGAAAGAAGAAGGAAGAAAGGGCAAAAGAGGGACGAAGAGGGCGCTGTGCTGCTCTGAGGATACCCCTTAGCTTTGAGGCTGAACCACCACAGTGCTTCACGTACCTACTGCTGGATCACTAATAGCAAAGCTGGCAGTTCAAGCCCCACCGGCGATCCCTGGGGGAAAGATGAGGCTGTCGGCTCCCGTAAAGATTGACAGCCTTAGAACCTCCATACAGGGACGCTATGAGTCCGAATGAATCGACTGG